AGTAACACGGAGATATCATTAATAGTGAATTTTACTTCATCTGTATACTTCTTTGTGTCCGCGTAATAACTGGTTACTGTTGCCGCTACCGTGAGAGGCTGAATAGGTGGGGCCATGTGGAGGCGCAAAAAAAAACCTTGCAGCAAGGAACATATTCTATTTCTACGCTGGTGCGCTTCCCCTATGGATGGATGGATGAACTTTATTTGGTCTATCGGAACGTGCTTCAGCACGTTGCGAGCCGCTTCCACGTCAGAACAGAAAGACAAAGTCTCTCTGCTGCGTTGCGGGCCCGGTGGACTGTCCATAGCGGATGTTCAAGTCCGGCTTCCCCTATACCGTTATTTTATTGACCGCTTTGCGTATACCTGAATGTTGTGCGCGCCACACACTCCAATATAGCTAATTTAGTCCCTCGAGCGAGCGTGGCTGAAGCATGCATCCTCAGGCACCTCCTCATTGCTGCTTAAAACGGTGTTCATTTTGAAATCGCTCACTGTTATGCAAAGGGTCAATTGAAGCAAAAGTTATTCGTGACGTCGCAAATCGCGGCTTAAGACTTTCGTATTTGACCCTAGTCGACATTTTGTACGGTGACGACAACAATGCAGGTGACAAGGCATGTGTGCGCCTAGCAGACAAAATGTTTGCGGAGCAGCTGAGCCTGACGTCACTCATTTCTGTGAAGTGGTCAGCTGTGGCGCAGTTTGGAGGTGACTGCGAGGTAGTTCCACTGGCAGCGCTCCCAGTGATAAAAATGGCTGGATCGCTGGTGATTTTTAATCGTGCTAGATATCAATGATATAAATCAACAAAAGTGACAGTTGTTCGTGCCTCAGTTGCGTTATAGGTCGCGAATCGCTGCAAGGGGATCGATAGCTACTCGACGCGAAAACCATGACATGGGTAAATTTGATGTCAGTGCTCCTTTCAAGCTTTGGAGACACTGACAGTGCAATGTCCCACTCAGGGCCCCATGCACGATTAAAGGAGTGGTGCCATTGAATTTCGAGGCTATAACAAGCCTCTTGTCCTCTGCATGCAAGGACACTCCACATGAATGGTCGGGCACAGCAGAACATTTAGAATATATTTTAATTCACTTATAAAGTGTACCTCGCTAGATCACGTGCTACAAGACACGAACAGGCAAAAAAAAAAAAACCTTCCACACTCGTCATAATGGCTACTGGGGGTGCTGAATGACGCTACCACGTTTAAATGCGCATATATACCTTATAAAGTGGATCTAAGGATGATCACTCCCATAACTCGGTAGTAGAGCATTGTATGTGCAATTCTAAAGTCACAGGAAGTCATCTTTTTGTCCACTTTTCTTTCTTCACATTTACATTCAATGGCTTTTAATAACATTCTCTATACTTTCTGTGGCATCATTGTCTGTTTGATCTCGTTAATATATTCTCATTTGTGTTATTTTCTGTTGTTTGGTCGTGGGTGTTAGAAATTTGAGATAACCTTTAAAGGGCGAGTAAACAGCTCTGAGGTCTAAAAATTTTTAAAAAGAGATATATGTGCAGTTTTTCTTTGTGAACATGCTGCCTAAGAATTTTGCAAATACGTGCTATATCGGCAAACTCGATCAGTCACAATGCACTCCCGCTTAGTCGCAATGCACTTCCGCTTGCTGTGAATTGTGGTTGTTTGTTTACCGTTTGCCGCACCAGCCACGGGTCAACCGTGTAAGTGTCACGTGCAAAGTGCCAACCACAAACGGTCAGGTCCTCGACGTACGCCGCTGGATGGCCGATTCGCTTCAGCCATGCAACGCACAGGGCCCCATCATGAGACACCCGGTGCCAATGCTTCTCCGCTGCCCAGTCGCTCGATGTGCAGCCGACGACACAGCAACGCTTGTTACTCGTGTTGCTCACATCAAGGGCGAAATACGATCGTACGTGCACACAGGCGTTATAGTTGAGCGAGGAGTGTACACGTGCATGCGACAACTGTGAGGCTGGTTCTTTCACCGCATTGCCAAGAAACAAGAGGCAGTTTCATAGCTGTGGGTGGGAACAGGAACTGACGTTGACTTCACTACTGTTTTTTCACACCTGACTTAGGCCAATCGGCGAGCTGCGTGCTACGCCAGGTCTCCGAGTTGACGTCACTGCGCATGCAAGGTGGTCGGTCAGGCGTAGGAAAGATGTGCGGGAATTGTTTTTCGAAATAGAGGCTCTGCGCTGCACGCAGCGCTGTAATATTCAGAAAACATGATCACTGCGGTACAAATTGCCGAGCTTGTATGGGGGGTGTAAAAAAAAAAAAAAGTCGGATGCTGTTTACTGGCCCTTTAAAGTGCGCTGTATCCTCTGTGAACATTGTCAGAATTGGTCAACTACTCTCAAAATCCCGAAAGGTGCCTAACCCTGGTCTATCGGAATGTCCAAGCTCACTCTTGATAATAGCCTCATAACTTTAGGTGATAACGTTTTTCGGGACAACTAGGTGAATTTCGTTCGAGCTGAAAAACTGAGATCCAAGGGAAATCTCCAGAAGATATCTTCAGAGTGGATTGTCTTTCAGGGTTACGCACCTCTGGGAATTGTGAGAGTAGCTGACCAATTCTGACCCTGTTCACCAAGGACGCAGCACACTTTAAGTTTAAAGGTTAAAGAGTAAGGAAGTCATCACTTGCTGCTTCAATCAACGCTATATATTAGCCACCCTCAGTTGAACAGAAGACTTGAGAGCTTGATGAGTTGCTTGCTTCGTAGGTCCCCCTTCTGCTGCCCGGCCAGCCATGTCTATTACTGTGTGTGAGGAGACTCCTGCCATTTTGTTTGACAGCGAGATCTGCTTTTCATTTGGGGGCTTGATGATTAATGAATTCAAGTGTTAAGGGAAGGTGCTACTCAAAGACACTTTTATTTTTAATATTCACCCTAGTGCAATAAAGCTTGAGAGCTGATCATGGAACTTTTTATGAGGATTTCAAATAGATAATGATTTTTCTTGCAAGTTACATACTGTTAGCTCTGCAACATTACAAAATGAAAACCTTAAGTCTTTTGCCCCTGGCCCCCCTCTTTTCATCACTAAACTTCTATAATTTTTCACCGTTTATAGTTCATAATGTTCAAATAAAGGGTCGAATACAAATAACCAGCTAGGAAGTGTATACAAAATATGTAATATACGTGAAAAATAATAGACATAAAAAAGTCCATATTTACTCTACTCTAGTAAAGGTTTACATAGAATTTTTAATTGTATAATAAAAATATTGAAATTTAAACTAGATAATTGTGTTTGTCATGCTTTGGAAAAAATTTGGGCAAAGTTTCATGCATATTTGAGCACCAGAAGTGCCTGAAAAAGGAGCGGCACATTGGAAAAAACGGCGAAGTCTGTGTTTAGAGAAAAACGAGCTTCAAAGTTAAAATTTAATTTTTATATATGGAAGATGTCATTAAATGCAATGAAATTTGCACCAAAAAGAGCAATCCTTCTTGTAGTGGCGACCGCCACTAAAATGCGCCAGCACCAGAATTTTGTCCCTCACCACTCTTTCAAACAGACTCCTCACAGACATTTCACTCACAGGCGGGGCCATGAAACGCTTGCCAAACTTCTTCCGCTCTATCTGGCGGAGCCTTGTGCCAACTGCAAGCTAGGGAGATGTTCAATAGGGCTTCGAAATCTAAACTAAAAAGTCCACTGTCGAGGGACACAACAGTGCCGATACCATTGTGGCTGCTTTGTGTCATGTGCCGTTGTATATAACGGCAATGTTGTCCCCAGTAACTTCCTTCACTGTGAGCTTCCTCAACCTTACATGATTGGCACAGATGGCATCCATTGCCGCATCACAGACTTTCTGGCTGATAGCTGTGAATGACTTTTTTGAGGCTTTTGCAAGCCAAGAATTGCCGCAAATCGGACCAGCTGCTTGTAGCCCGTTCTGACAGAGCGCGTTGCCACATCTTTCACGTTGACAGCGTTGCCATCAAACGGCCTTTGGCTTTCTTCATACATAATGGTGATAAACACATGAGAGAAGCATTGATAAGCTGCACTGCTCGACGAAACACGGACCCTGCAAGTAGGCTTCACAGCATATACAGGCGCACAGCAGCCAAAGGCGATCCCTAATGCTTACCACGGGATTTAAAAAAGCCAAACGTGGCGCTCATAAATGCAGCAATAGCGTGCTTTTTTTTTCTTGCACTGCAGCAGCGTGGGAAACCATCATTATTTGAAGAGTGAGGCTCGGCTCTTTGCCTCATGAGATCGACAATGGCAAACAGCGGCACATTATCAGCGAAAAGGTGCTCGAAGGGTGCACACTTTCGGCCTTTTAACAGCTACCTTGTGCTCTTTAGGCACAATTTTAAAGCATTTTCAGTTGACTCACAACATAGCTCCTTTTTTTTTTTTTTCCAGATTAGTAGAGGAATAGTTGTAGAGGGTCCTGCTGCAGTCTTCGACTATGGGACCCACGTTTGTACATTTTTCTGTTAACATTTTATTGCGTAAGAATAATAAGTGACTGACTGACTGACTGACTGACTGACTGACTGACTGACTGACTAATCTTATAAAAACAGGTGAAAACAAAAATCTGTAATTTTTTAGAAAACTCGCATTTTTCGACTCTTCATCTCCCCTTAATACATGTGCGTTCTTTCTTTGCCGCTGTAGATTCTTCAGCTTCTCGCTTTCTCTCTACTGCACAATAAATGTTTGCCCTCCTCATATTTTCACTAGGTTTCCTCTCATTTTGGTGGCTTATCTACTGGGATTTCCTGGTATAGCTGTTTGTGGATGTGGGTTCCATTCTTGTCTACAGTGGCTGCATTGCTATGAAGGCAAAATGCAAAAAATGCGTGTGTGCTTAAGATTTAGGTGCACATTAAAGAATCCTAGCTGGTCATTAAATTCAGAGTCCCTTCACTCCTTTCGCCTCATAATCATATGGTTTTTGTACATAAAATCACAGAAATCAATCTGTCAATATTTGCCCGTTTATTTCGCAGGACAACCAGCATGAAGATTGGGTATCATGTGTACGCTTTTCGCCCACAGCTGGGGACCCAACAGTGGTCTCCTGTGGATGGGACTGGAAAGTAAAGGTGTGGAATTTGTCCAACTGTAGGATGCGGGCTGAGTACAGCCACTCTGGATACGTCAATACTGTCACTGTGTCACCGGATGGCACACTCTGTGCGTCTGGGGGCAAGGTGAGTCCCATGGCTTGTAGCATCTGGTTTGTTACCTCTCTGTAAAACAAGTGTTCTCTTATTTCTGCTGCTGCATTCGATTGGAAGAAAACTGTAGGCTTGACTTGATCGCTGTTCGTGCCTTTCGGTGGCGTGGAATCAGCGTAACTCTTTTCCGTGGCTCTGCTTGAAGGAAAGGGAGCTTGGGTGGCGCTTGTAACATTCGAATGGTAGTTCTCGATTTGATTGCAAAGTCTTGGATATGGGGTGCGAGCCTGTGAAATCTAACGATCGGCACCGTTCAGCCCCCAAATAATCTGTGTGGGCTGAAACGTAATCTGCGAATTTCTGCAATTGTGCTTTCCTTTTGTAGTTTTATTTTATTTTGCATTTCGTTGGCAACATGGGAATTTTGATGTAAATTTTTGGAAATTTGAATGCATTGTCTGCATGCCTAGATTCTTTGACACGGGAGGCTGCATGTTTTGCGCTAGTGTAGCCCATGAAGAAGGCTGTTTCAGCTGTAGTGTGGATATTTGTGACATCGGCGATGTATACGTTATGGTGTAGTCTAAAAAAAATTTCCAGAAATTTTGCCCCGCATAATAGGCACACCCTGAACTTAGAGCCAAATTTTCTGGGAAAAAGGTGCTCTTATTGTGCGAGTAAGTACAATTTTTAGCATGAGAGTACACTCAAACCTCATTATAAAATTGCATCTTACACAAAAATAGGTTCGTTATATTCGTAAATTCTTTATAAACGTTCATTTCTAACATTATATCTATTGCAAGACTCTTTTTTCATTTAGTACTTTTTTTACAACCTATATTTTATTATATCTGGGTTTGAGTGTAGTTATGAAGTATATGCGTGACCCACACACAGAGTCAAAACGGAGCAACATTTCATTGCATCTTCTGCAAATTAAAAATACCTGGTAGCTTGCAATATCATCGTAGACGGCAACTATGCAGTTTTGAAGGCATGAGACTAGTGCAGTCATACGTTGTAGAAGGTTGCCCTGTGATGACACTTAGTGGCTGAATAGTCGTGTCGATTGACCTTTGTGTCCTGCAATGCTGAGGGCTGCTTCCTTCACATTAGCGTTTATGATGACTGTCATGCTTGCTGTGGTGATAATGCTCGATGTCGTGTTGTTGCCTAGGATTGCAAAGCCAACCTGTGGGACTTGGAGAAAAGTGAGCTTAAGTGTGTTCGGGACAACCAAGACATCATTAATGCATTGTGCTATAGTCCAAGCAGGTACTGGCTTTGTGTTGCCACAGGATCATCCATCAAGATTTGGGTAACTATTTTACTGTTTCATACAAAGTATAGTCATATTGTGGCATTTCGCTATGATTTGTCTTAAGAAAGAAATTGTTTGGAATATCCCATGCTCTTGAGCCTGAAGCCTGCCGTTGCGGCATGGATAACTTATGAGTGTATTCGTAAAGTCACTGCTGTTCTGTAATGGCATAAGAATGTCTTTACAATCATCGTATTCAGGCTGCCTCACAACAATCCTGTGCAAATAATGCTACTGTCACTGTCATGCGGGAATTCTATTAAGTTGCCAAATGTGTAGTAAAAATTTTGCAAAATAAAGTTTGCGAAATAATTATTTTACTTTAATAAATAGAGATGCCCTATGTTGAAGTAGGGCCATTTATGCAAAGTATAGTCAAGGATGGGTTCTATTTTACTTGCAAGGTGTGGCAAGGTATGTTTAAATAATAGGACCAGCCAAAAATAGTAGGACCAGATAAACTAAAGAAAACTTCATTTCAAAACCGTAAAGAAAAATCGCAGTTCTGATGAATCTGTGTGCTGCCACACATTTATAGTTTTATACCACGTTGAAAAATCCACTTCACAAGGGCGCTACAATACTCATTGAGAAGACAAAAACAGGCCAAATGCACTGCAGTAGTATGCGTAAGTGAAGTCATTTCGCACATTTTGCCACCGTGATTTCTCATCAATACCGTGAATCAGGGTGGCATTATACAAAATTCTGTTTACCAAACCAAGCTACTTGCTCAGCACTCAGTCATTGATTGCACAACTACAAAATTTGTAGCATGCCACAAAAACAAACAAAAAAAAAGCTTTGCTTTAAAATCTTATGAAAGCATGGAGACAATCTCAATTCTGGAAGCTTTGCTCATAGTTGCTGTTTTTGTTTTGTGACATTTCTTGCATTATCTCTGAAGAATTGAGCTAATACCCAGCAGTATATCATAAAATTTCATTGCATTTAAGCATTAGTCTTGCAGGAACCTTGCCAGTCTTTTTGTTGCAGAAAAGCCACATAACCCTTGCATAACTTTCTTATGCTGGCAGTGGGTGGCAGGTTACTGCGAGCTGCTCAGAATTTTTTCAGATTAAGAATTATGGAGCGCTCAGCATTGTCTCTTGCTTAAACGTAATTGCTTAGAAGAAGAGTGAGAGGCCCTTGAATTTAGTACTGTGCTGCGTTTCAAACTACTCATGCCTGTTATTTGCCACATGGCTACAACGAAAACGCCCGATTCTAGTCCTGTGGTTCGTAGATGGTGATGCAAGGTTTTATCCAGTGGCAAATATACGCGACGAACTACAGTACTTGATTAGTGCCTAAAAATCCTCATTCACAGTTGTGCATACTTGTCGGGTGCCTCGCGTGCTTCTTTAGGATGCCTTAGCAGCTGCGATGTAAGGCTTCTTGTCCTTGAGTTCGATTTTATTGATTATTGCGAAATTCATTGTAAACAGCAGGTTCTCTTTCACGGCATCCATCACGTAAACAAAACAAGCGGAGAAGTATATGGCTACCCTGCACATTGGGTCAGCAGCACAACAATAATAAATCATGCGCGGAAAGCACGTGATCGGCGTGGCGTCCTCTTAGTTGCGTTGCTCGGTCTCTCAAATGCATGCGGAAAAGTCCTCTTTTATGAACAGAAGCCAAATTTTTGTGAGGGAAAGCAAACTTTTCAGGTCACTTCCCTCAGCTCAATGTTCGATATATCAATTGTTACAGCTATATTTGTTCAATGTAGCCATTGATTTTTTCTATTCATTAATGTTGAAGCATTGTTGTGATTGAAAGTTGTTATGAAAAATAATTTAATTTACCAAAATTCAGTATAGACGACTATAATACAGTAGAATTTCAATATGTATTCGAAGTGTGCACACTAATTATTCGTGTCATTCTGAATTCGTATGAACCCAAAAATAGATTAAAGCTGATCATGTAGGTGAACATGAACTTTATTGGGATAAACTGCATTTTGCTGAAAAAATGTCCATGATATTCTTTCAAACTTCCTGCCTTCACTGCCTCTCAATAAAGTGCCACGGTTTTCTCACTCGTGCTGCTGGCACTTAAAGCGCGTTCACACTTGGCATCAAAGGGAGGGAAAGCTGCAAAACCTATTGGAAATTTTCTTGCTTAGCCGCTTAAGCGGCCGGAAGACGACATGAAGAAAATAAGTCGCACAGGAGAATTCAAGCAAAAACGCCAGCATGGCTGCAAAACCACGTCCGTGCTTGTTTAAGTTGTTCACATTCGTTCTGACTACCGTTGCCGCTTGAGAATTCATTCCATTTTGCCTGTTCCTTGAGCATTAAAATTCATACCGAGTTCTACTTATGCATGTAAAGCACTGAAAAGAAACAGTTTACACCTGTACAAATGTTGTTTTGGGAGATATGCCATCAGAAACAACACGAGTGGATGCACCGGCAGCGGCGGCGACGGATTCAGCCTGCAGTGCAAAAGTGAAACACGTTAGGTCATGCCGACTTGCTGCTGCTGCTGTGCCTTCTTCTACTTCCGGTGTTCGCAGCGATCGTAATCTAAACTAGGCTCTCAATGAACGCGTTCTTGTCAAGGCTGTGAGGTTTGTTGTGCTGCGCGGGTAGTTCGGGATTGCGCCGGCGCGAGCCGCCTTTGCCGCCATGTTGAACTTGCGGCTCGTTGTTTACATCACGTGATTTGTGAACAAGTGCACTCGGTGTAGCCAAAGCCGTGAAGCAAAAAGGCGATCTGCTATCGTGTAATTAAAAAATAGGTCCTGGGTCGATTTTTGAGCGTCAGCTTTGCGGCATGGTTTTCCTGCCACTTGGGCGACGAAGCAAGGGAAATTCTCGTGAGTTTTGCCGCGTTCACTCCCTTCGAGGCAGTGCGAATGGGCCTCCCTCCTACAGACAAGTCGTGTTGCGTCATTCGCGTGCAACGGTCAATCGCACGTTTGTATCATCCGCGGTGGCTGGGGAAACTGTTCGCATGACACCGAATGAAGGCGTATTTTATATAGTGTAGTCCATCTGAACCAATCTTAAAATTTTTATCATCTCGAAATTCGCATCAACTGTAATCTAATCATCGAGACTCTACTGTATATTAATTTGGCTTTTCACTGTAGGAAACAATTGCATTGATTGATTGATATGTGGGGTTTAACATACCAAAACCACCATATGATTATGAGAGACTCCGTAGTGGAGGACTCCGGAAATTTCGACCACCTGGGGTTCTTTAACGTGCACCCAAATCTGAGCACACGTGCATACAACATTTCCGCCTCCATCATTCACGATTCGATCCCGCGACCTGTAGGTCAACAGACCTGTGGGTCAGTGTACCTTAGCCACTATACTACCGCGTCTGGGCTGCAAACAATTGCAGCACATTATTTTACACTTGCAAGACAGGTTGTAGTGTACACGTATGCTGAAGGAGTACGGCTACTAGCGTGGGTCCAGTTTTAGCGAGCCGCAGGCCAAGCATTAACGTCGCCGTGGCGAGAACACGATACTACTCAAGGTCGCAACATTTTATTCTCTGTGGCAACACCAAAAATGCAGTACAGCCCGTTGCAAAGGGGCGGCGAGAAAGCAAATGAGCTTATCCACGCCACGGGCGTAAAAGTTCTACACAGGGTGCCACGAGCACGTCTCCGTGGTAAAGGTGATTCATGGAGACACCAGGACCAAGGCCCGGTTGCTCGAGCAAGGGCAAAGACGCTCGCGATGGCTTTGAAGGGAGACGGGTCGGCGTAGCTTGGCCACGCACTAGGACACCGTACCACCCTTTGGTCGATCGTACGCAAAGGGGCAACAAAAGGTGAGCGTTTGCCTCGAGCACGAGGCGCCGTCAGCGAAGTCTGACGAGCCCTGAGCGACGGGAGTTGACGGATGGAAAAGGAATGTGTGGCTCACCGTAAGCTGTCCCGGAGAATCTCTGACCCGCTCCCGATGCACGCGCGCGAATCCTCTCTGGAGAACTTACACGCGGTGCCACAGTCAGCATCTGCTACCGGGTGAGAGGGGTTAAAACATCACTCCTTGCTCTCCCAGCGCGGCAGACAGCGGAGCAGGGGAGTCATGTTGGGACATGAGAACGGCAGAAAAGGCGGCAAAGCCCGCGCAAAGGCGGCGGGCTAGCCTCAATTCCCACAAGGTGATGGCTACATTCTTACGTAGACTGGTTTGCTGATTGCCCGCTCCTTGTGTTTGATGGTAAGAAAGGAGAAAGCGCTTGAAGTGTGCAACAAATACCTGTAACCCATTTCATACTCAAATGGATTCTAAAAATTTTTGTGGCAGTTTATTTGTGAGGTATTAAGCTCTTATAATGAGGCCATTCAATCATTACAGTCAAATCTTGTTATAGCAAATTTCAGATTCACAACTTTTTTGAAAATCCCGCTCCTAATGTCCACTTATTTGATATAAAAATATTATATTACTGTGAATTTCAGAGCACTGAATGTTTCAGAAACTTTAAATTTTATCAAATTTTATCGCCCTTATATCTCCACAACACTTCAAAATAACGAATAGCACTTTTAAAAAGTTGCTCGTGGCTGTAGAAACAATGCCCAGCTTCTTACACGTCACTATCGTCATCTGCATCATCATCATCCAAATACCCACGTACTTCTCTATGTGCCTGCCCTATGGGAGACCAACGCTGGTTAGGTGGCACGCCGAAAAAGAGCACCTGGCAGAGAGTCGCGACACAACTCGGCTGCTCGCGCCCAGACGACCGCTGCTGCAGTCTGCAGTGTACCACTATGAGAGCACGTGCGTGCGCCGCTGCTGTGATTTATTTTGGTACGAACAGCTCAAAAAGCCATTATGCCAGTAATGCTGCACTGTGGTTTAGAAAAATAACTTTGTTCAAAGGCTACTGTCATATAAAAAGCACTAAAAAACAGAGAGAAGCCCTGCAAAGCGGACTGCGTATATGCATTTAGTATCGAAGGGACAGTGCTGTGCTGTGATGGCAGCTCCCTCATCCTCATTTTTTTG